AGGCCCTCCCCCGCCAACCACCGGCTCCAGCTGCCTGGAATCCATTGGGGGAAAACCCCTTTTTGCCAGAACCTGGTGACTCCAAGGTCTGCCAGACGCTTCAAAAAAACCTTGGTCAGTCTCAATAAATCTCTCTGCTCCAATTTTTTGAGATAAATTTAGTGCTGATGTTTCCTTTTTTGGACAGTTAAAAAATATAGGCTAGGTTTTCTCCAGGTTTCGATTATTTTTATTAAGTTTCAGTAAAATGTAAACTTTGAAATGTTAAAACCAGAAGAAGAACTGAAGAGAGTGAACAAAAAATCTGGATGTATTTTTGAGATACCAAAGCAAAACACTTTTTTTTTTTACTTCTCAAAAAAAAAAAAAAAAAATTTTTTTGCCTTGATGAAATTGGTGAAATTTTTAATAGTATTTTTCCATGACATGGGAAGAAACATTTCCTGTCTCTATTAGCTTAGTCAGTGCTGACTTGCATAATAGCATCTTAACAACTGTAAAATAACTATCCTCTTCTTAGCTATAGATTTTGCATTTGGAAAGCTTATTCCTGAGCTATAAATAAAAGAGGATGAAAATACACAGCGAGCTTCTGGAAGCACTGAAGAGCCATATTTTTGTCCAATTCAAATCAGTGTACCTCTGCAGTTTTTATGCCAACTGAGCACATGGGCGAGCTTCTGCCTAATCATATTGACTTCTTTTTTTTTTTTTTAAGACTTCATCTATATAATCAGGTTTCAAAATTTGAAATGGACGCCATTTGGTGGATATTCTTCATTTTTCTAAAAGCAAGAAACTGCAAGGTACCATCTTTAAAAAAAAAAAGGAGTACTTGCAATGCTTTGGTGGAGGATCCAGTCAAAGTGAAAATACATTATTACATTATATTCATGTAGAAATAATAGTTATTTGCTGAAACAAATGCTTACTGTCCTGGTATCTCTAACATCCTTTAAATTTCATTACTATTTGAAGCTGTTTAGAAAGAACACTCCTACTGCAAAAATTTGTGCTGTTTGTACAGAAGTACATTTACGGGATGGATTTCCTGATTTTGTACAGAAAGTGTGCTGGTATTTCTCTGTGAATTCTACTTCAGAGTAAAGTCAAATGTCGGTTGTATAACCTTCAGCTACATACAGTCTTAAGAGGTTGGTTATGTGATGAGATTAAATTGTCTATTTACCCTATTTTAGGGACCGATGTGTGTAATTTTATGTAGGAGAACCATTGACCTTAATGAGTAAAGCTTCAGTGCATTCTGAAACAGCCAGCATTTTTGCCTATTAATCCAGGTTAGATTGATTCATTATTTTGGGCCTGTGCTTTATACTCTTATGATGAGCTTGCTTCATTTTAATACTACATTAGCTTGAACATCAGCTGTGGGTATGAAATGAGATTAGCTGACTCAAAAATGAGAGTGGGTTAAAAAAAATGGAGTAGTGTTCCTTAATAATAAATGGTGCCTACGCTGTACTCTTCGAATGAGGCAACTTAGTTGTAAAAGTGCAAATAGACTAAAAATAATGATTCTCTCATCCTTTGATGAATAGAGGTTTTTCTTTCCATTTCTCTGAAGGGAGGGGCGTGTGTCCGTGTGCATATGTATGAGCTCTGGGGAAGACCATTCCTGTGCCTGGTTTTGTCTTATGGCAAAGTTATAAAAATTAAGACTTTAACAGAGATCATAGATTTCATCAGCGTCCTTGTAGAGAGAACTGCAGCCTGAGACCAAGCTTTTGGAGTAATCAGAGAAGCTGCCTGAGCATGCACTTTCAGAATAAGATCACGTTAGCTTTGTCTCTAGATTGAGACCTCCAGGTTCCTCCATTTAAGCCTCAAAAGTGGTTTTAAATATTATGATTTTCACAACAAATGTCAGTTTTCAAATTCAACATGGTGTTGCAGAACTGTTCTCTTTCCTTGTCGTTATTCCAGTCATGTCGTGTTACAATGGCTTATCTTAAAATAACACTGATGTAAAGCACTCAGTGCATTTCACAGTCATCACGTACGTAACTGGATTTGTGGAACACAGGATGGAGACAAGGTCAAAAGCTAGATTTTTCTTCCTTTGGAAATCAATGAGGTTTTTAAATTTTACTTCATTAAAAATCTATTGCCGCCTTCTAAGTGTCTTGGAATAATCAAACTTTTATGTTGGGTTTGAACACTTTGAATATAATTTTACTGTCTGTGTGCAAAAGCGAAGCACAGAGAGGTGCTCTTTCAGGTGCAGCAAATTCCTTCCTTTTTACCTGTGAGTGCTGGATGTAGACCAGGCTAAATTGCTAATCCACGAACCCATTACTTTAGGGAGGCAATGTCTTGTGAATTCGGGGCATTTCCAGTCACTTTGAAGTCTCAAGATGGAGCATTCGTCAGAAGATGGTGCCCATGCACCGTATACTTTCTTATGAATATTGCAAATTATACCCTGCACTTGTAGGCAGCTTTTTTCTGCTCTTTGCAAACTTGCTGTTTTCCTCCCCATCCCGCTAACTGAGGGGAAAATATTTCCACAGATGAAAAGGTCAGGACAGAATTTAGCCTTTACTTTCAAAGAAGGTTAGTGTGAGCTGAAGGTGAAGGGCTTTTGTTGTTTGCTTTTATCTTATGAATATTGCAAATTATAACCTGCACTTGTAGGCAGCTTTTTTCTGCTCTTTGCAAACTTGCTGTTTTCCTCCCCATCCCGCTAACTGAGGGGAAAATATTTCCACAGATGAAAAGGTCAGGACAGAATTTAGCCTTTACTTTCAAAGAAGGTTAGTGTGAGCTGAAGGTGAAGGGCTTTTGTTGTTTGCTTTTTTCTTACTTGACACTTATTAATGCTGGTTCTCTTCTAGAAAGCAGGTGATGAAGTGGACGTAATACTGTTGGGCAACAAGTGTGATAAGGAGTCAGAACGTGTAGTTCCAAAACAGAAAGGAGAAAAGGTATCATTAGTACTTTCTTTGGGTTCTCCTGAGTATCTTAGTATGTGACTATTAGGTCTTACACTGAAAGTGGTAAAAAGCTCCTGAATTCCAAAACTTCTATATTAGGAGTTGCTCCAGAAGAACAGTTGTAGAGTTCTGGAGTGTTGGTTTGTTTTTTTTAAGATATGAGCAGAAATACATGAATTGTTAGGTCTTACACTGAAAATGGTAAAAAGCTCCTGAATTCCGAAACTTCTATATTAGGAGTTGCTGCAGAAGAACAGTTGTAGAGTTGGGTTTTTTTTTTTTTAAGATATGAGCAGAAATACATGAAGTAACTCCTATCTGATCTCTTTAGAATACTGATTTTTATTTATGTCTGTATTTTATTTATTTATAAATGTAACACCTACAACTTTTAAAGTACGGTAGAAAATTTACATTTTTAATTAAAACTAAAATTATTTTAGAGTCTGCATTTCAGCATAGTCTTTTAATGTGGAATATTAACATGTCATGCATAGTACATTCTGCATAATTTTTTTGGTACCACCCATCAGTGACTTTTTTGCTACAGCCTGACTGTAAGGAACCGTTCTGGCAGCCTGTGCACAGTGATCTGCATTGGCTGTGACTAGCCCTAGATCCCAGAATCACAGACTGGTTTGGGTTGGAAGGGACCTTAAAGCTCACCCAGTGCCACCCCCCTGCCACGGGCAGGGACACCTCCCACCAGACCAGGTTGCTCCCAGCCCCATCCAGCCTGGCCTTGAGCACTGCCAGGGAGGGGGCAGCCACGGCTGCTCTGGGCAGCCTGGGCCAGGGCCTCACCGCCCTCACAGGGAAGAATTTTTTCCTAATTTCGGGACAGACACATTTAGGGAACACCCAGCTCCCCTAGGTGTAACTGTGTACGTGTAGCACAGCTGGGACTACAGTATAGCTTATACCTGCTGACCGTGTGTAGGGGAAGAATTGGGGTTCAGTGGGGAGTGCTGCTTTAAAGGCCATGGCAAATTAATTCCTCACGTGCAATGAGGAAATCCAGGAGCCGTGCTATGGCAGAAAAAAAATGGTGATAATGACTAAATGTCGCAGGAGAGCGTGTCCTATATACCAGTAAGTTTTGCAGCTGCAGACTGTATGCATCTGTTGTCTGGAACTCGGAATGAGCCCTTGTGTTATGCTTTCAGGCACGGTGAGTCAGGCAGGATATCTTGTGCTTAAAGAAAAGAACACTCGTAATTTCTTGCCAATTTTATAATCCCAGATTAGGGAACTTTAAAAAAATAGCATCACCTTTTCATCAGCGTTACAAATAGGAACTTTTGAAAGTTCATTTGTATGCAAGACACTGTCAGTGTTAATGTACTAACTATATCTGTGTACAAGGAATAAGGCTGCTGAAAAGTACGAGTATGTTCTCACCCAAAATGTGCAGTCAGAAACCCGAAGAGTCACTGGATGCATGTGCACAAGAGGGCAGTAGTAGGGTTTTACATGTGGTATTAACCAGGACGTTTTCTGACTTCTGTGAACCTAACCATGCAATCAGAATTTCTCTTAATGTACTGTTTTTTTCAGAAACTAATCATTACCTCCTCAGCAATGAGTCTGCTTTCTAGATTTCCCCTGTGTTTTGAGGCAAGGCAACTCTTCAGTTATACTATTTCTGCTTTGAATGTGATTTAAAAACACTAAAGACTCTGACTGATTCGTCTGGAGAAAGATTCCATTAGCAGAGAGACTGAGTTAATAATTGTCCTCTCACTCCAAAGAAGAAAATATCCTTATTAGGGGGGAAATAGTTTGATACTCACTCTGCTACATAATAATTCCTACTTACATATTTCATATTACCCTGTGAGTGTGAGCTGTAAGTATTGTTCTGTTCAGAGTCTTGCAGAGAAGACCCCTAGATGCCCTGGGTATCTTACCGTCTATGGTGGCATTTCTAGAACAATCTGTCATAACTGAGTGGCCATCGAATGCCAATTTATAGACTAATGCTGATAATTTTTTATATGTGATTTTGATCACTCAAAACCTGATATATATAACAGTATAAAGTATTTTCTTGTATTAATAGCTTTTTATTCACTTTGGGAAAAGTTTGAACTCAACCTTCTTGGGCTCTTCCATTCCCCCTGCCCCTCAATAACATTATCTTTTTCTCTGAAAAATATATAAAAATGGTGAAGGTTATATGACTTGGTTGAATGTGGCTGGTTTTCTCCTGTCAAATCTTTCTAACAGAAAGAACCAAGTAAAATATTCTTCCTTTTTTTTTTTTTTTGCTTTTGCTGTCTTCATGTACCTGACTTCAAAGCCGATTTTACAGGTACAATACAAATGAAAAAAAAACCATTTTGCAGCATTGTAGGAATATATCGGACACATCTCTCTGATTCAACACTAAGAAATCACAGCAGCACTTTGCTAGGAAGTAGTATATTTTGAGTTAAAAGAAATGAGCAATGAGAATTAAATTTCACCTTGGAAGAGATACTGGCATTACCTATTTTGTTACTGTAAGTAAGGTAGGAGCTTGTTTCACTCAAGATCTCCAACCTGTTCTCAAGGATAATATAACATTTCTCAGTAGCATAATTCATGGAGGTTTATAAATATTTTTAGGTATTTTATTTATGGATCTATTCAAGATGCTCCCAAATGCAAAAAAAAAAAGTATTTCTTTGAATGTGCCTTTCCAGTTTCCTTATGAGAGGGAGTAGCCAAAGCTCTGTTCATACTTCCAGCTGCTTCAACACTGAACTGTTGGGTTTTTTTCCTTCTAGCTACATTTTCAGAGGACTTGCTTGCCAGAATAGTTATCAGTATGCAAGGTGAATTGGGATAATATGTACTTTAACCTTCTTTGACCAATATTGTCCACATACAGAGAAAATGGGGGTGCACTGACGGGTGTAGTAGGCAATGTAGTAACATGATACAGAGGAGGCTGAAGTACTCAAGGGGTTTTAATTTTATTTTATTTTTATTTTGCATTGGTCTTCACAGGTGGAGCTTGCTCCCAGACCTCTGCATGTACTGGCACGGTTTGGGAAGGAGCAGGTCAGCCAGCAGTGGGAAAGCATTGGGTTAGAAACTGCTTAGGAAAGTTGGATGCATCCATAGACATGATGAGGTTCACCCAATTGTGCTGAACAAGCAGTGTGCTGAAAGGTCAGTGTGATCAGGGCCACTGCCAGTCAACTCTGAAAAATCATGGTGGTTGGGAGAGATCCCTTTTGACTAGAAACATGCCAGCATGACACCTGTCTTTAAAAAAGGCAAGGAAAAGGTTCAGGGAACTATAGTCAGTCAGCCTTGCTTCAGTCAGTGGAAGGATCGTGGAGCATGTTGTCATCAGATCCTTTTCCAAGGACATAAAGGACAGAAATACAATCTGGAATAATCAGCAGAGGACAAGTTGTACTTCACCACCCAGGTTGCCTCCTGCGATGCCAGGAAATGACTGTGTGGGCAAGGGAACAGCGGTGGTTGTGATATATCTTCAATTTAGTAAGGCTTTTGTCACCTTCTCCCATGGCATCCTCGCTTAGAAGCTGGGAAATGTGGGCTGGGCAAGTGGACCGTTAGGTGACTGAAAACTGGCTGGACTGCCAGAGGCAAAGGGTAGTGATCGAAGGTGGTGTGTCTGAATTTTGTTGGTCTTTTTTTTTCCTCATGCCAGTATATCTCTAAACTATCTGTAAGGGAAATAGACTGGAAATGAGAGAACTTGAGTAAATTAAATAAAGTCATCCAATGTCAAGTTTATGCCACTGCTCTTCGATGTATTTTCTCTCTTCTCCTATTACCGTAATACATTTTCGCATACATATCTGTTCTGTGCTTGCCTGTTGTCTCTGTGCTTCTCTCTCTCTGGTAAAAAGGAGCATCTCTGTTTTTGTGTTTCATCGCACCTCTTTTTCTGCAGTTTTTGTCACATTTTTATCTATACTCTTCTGCAGGCACTCCATTAGTTTCCTCTAAATAATTGCCTAGGAGACAATTCATTTTCCAAATAAATCAAAACATTGAGAGCAGACCCACTAGAATTTATTCTTGTTATTGACAAGTAAAGATAGGTTAAAAAAGCTGTTTTGAAAATGCAAAAATGTAAGAATGTTTTAAGAGTTACCTGAAAAACTGAGAATGAATATGGAGTACTTTAGTGAGCTAACATTTCCTTAATCAGTGTTTATGTAGCATGTTAGAAGCTGTCAGAACACCTCCATATCTCTTGCTATTAGTATTAGTTAAGTGGGTTTTTTTCCTAAAGACTGTTCATCCCATTGCCTACATTTGTTTTTCAGCTTGCTTGGGAGCATGGAATACCCTTTTTTGAAACCAGTGCTAAAGATAATGTGAACATTGAGCATGCGTTCTCAGTCTTGACTAAGGAAATACTGGAAAAGGTAGGCTGCTTTTCTGAGGAGAAAGAAGAGGGGAGGTTTTTCTTGACAGACTGGGTGAACAAGGTTGTAAATACAGAAGAGGTTTAGCAAAGCACAGCCACAGCCAGTGCTGGTTTTGCATTATGGAGTTCAGATTTGGGGGGGATGTCCTGTAGATGTACAGAGGAGGAATCTGGGGGAGAAGAATTGTGGGAGAAGAGAGCAACAGAAGAGGGGAGTAGGTAAAATACAGTTCAGAGAGAAGGTGAAAATTCAGGAAAACTGTACTTGTGGCTTTCCTTCACCCACTTTTCTTCAAGGGAGAGGTTAACAGCTCTAGAGTAGTTCCACTTCTGAAGCAGGAAGATTCCTTTTTCCTGTAGGTTTCTGCAGGGTATGCACACTGTGAAGATGCTACATGCTGATGGAATGAGCAGACCTTTTATGTTCAGCAATCAAATTTTTTATCCAAAGTTCACAGCTGTTTGTTTGGATGATTTACACGAGTGCATTTGAAGTTGTTAGGGCCTCAGATTTTACTTAATTAGTGGTAGAATCAATATTGTAGCTGTCAGAGTCAGCATCTCTAACTACCTCGAGTGTGTTGGCTTAAAGGTCCTTACTCCTCAGCGCTGCAATACTTTTGTAGGACTGAATTATTGTTAATTAGCTCTGAAAATGTTTTGCATTGCAATTTATTTTTAGACAGTGGAATATTATTTTAGACGTTAATGGATGTTCTTCATGCAATGCATTATCATTGCCATTCATCACCAATATTAGTTATACAAAACTAACCTTCCGTTCCGAATACTCTTGAAGTCATAATAAAGATAAATGAGCAAAATTACTGACAAAGTCACAAGTTGCAGTGTTTTGATTAAATAGCCATAGGGGATGGTCAGAGTAATAGCTCAGGGTTGGACTGCTTCTAAATCAAGGTCCTGTCATATTATACAATAACACAAGCTGCACTTGGTTATTTTGGGGGAGGAAAAAAAAAAAAAAGCTTTTGATTCCTTTAGCATGAAAATGAAGCTCAGCAGCTCAACAGTCAAATACCGTTTAGAGCAGGAGGATAATGGCAGGTCCTTGGAACAGTTGGTGAAAAGTCTCAAATGCTAACTCTGATTTTCTTGTAAATGAAAAAGACATTGTCATACTACTTTAAATAGAGAATATATTTGTTCGTATGAAGCATGAAAACCACAAAACAATAGCGATGATCCCAACTGCTGCAAAGACAAAACGTGTGTGAAGCGAGCAGTTCTGCACAGTGCGTTTGGGTAAGATCCAAGAGAATTCTCTGCAGCGTGCAGAAATGATATTTGGTTATTTCTCACTTCAAGATTGCCTGCGCTTACTTCACCCCGAGTGGAACTTTAGTATTCCTCCTCACCTTCATGAAAATTTATGGGTTTTGTAGTGTGGACACGCGAACAAATTCAGACCATGTTGAAAATGTTACACCGCGGCATGGCTTTAATTAGAGCTGCTTGAGGATACGGGTGTACACGGCGTGCGTGTACGTGTGTTTGGAAAAGATGTCCATGAGAATTCGCCAAGTTTGTCTGTAGTGACATCTCGCCTTATCTAGAAATGTTTGCAATCCCTGCTGGGGCATCACGTACCCTTACTTTGGTGTGTAATTTGCCATTTTTAGTGAAATGCATTTGTTGATTTAAACGAGGACTCCTTTAGCCCAATTGGTTTTGCCACTGGCCTGATAAGAAAAGAGTTCACAGTAAAAAAAAAAAAATAAAAAATCTACCATACAGTTTCATCATGGTTTTCAGGTTCGACAAAATAATTTGCTTGTTCACAAAACTGTGAAATCTGAATGTAGTACTTGAATTTTAACTTCCTCTAACTGATGAAATTTTGGAGAAGGTGAAATGCAGTAGGAAGTGTGACTAGTAGCTGTGAAAAATGACATGAGAGATGCCAGTCTGAGATCACTTCAGTCGTACATCCCTTCTGCAGCAGTAAGATATGTGCTGGCTGGCTGTAAAAAAGGAGGTAGAGCTTTGCACAGTGTTTTGGCCCAAGATATGTCTGAGGCAGCAGGATATCTGGCCTCCCTTCCTCCTGCAGTAGGACCACCTGTCCCAGACTGGTGAGGTGCTTCAGTGGAAGTCTGTTGTGGCCGTGCTTTTGGGAAGCACGTGGAGGTCATTCCGAAGGCAGATAGGCAGGGCAGGCTGGCAGGCAACACACCGTTTTCAGATGCATTGCAGGAGGCTGGCTTCATCTGAGGAAATCTGGGAGTTTTCTATATCCATTCTTGTTCACCATCTACTACGAGCATTTCTTTATTAACTAAACCTAAGGAAAACAGTCCTGTAGATGGGGAAGATCAACGTCTGGAGTTACAGAGCTCATCCAGAAATAACGAGCTTCTTGATTCTATCGAAATACAGAACAAGTTGTGGTTCAGTGGAGGACTGAGGGAAAAAACCACATTAAAATGTGTCAGACAAACACCAAAAAAGGCAAGTTTGTATCGTTGTTATTTTCTGCTGCATTTTCCTCTCTTCTTTTGTGGTTTTACGTAAGGGAGCGAGGTTACTTCTGTATTCCAGCGATTCAGGTAACTAAAGCACTGCTTGACCCTTCAGATACACTTTCCATCTCTGCCATTCTGTGGTGGCCCTCAGTCCTACAGCTCTAATTTACGTGGGTAACCTCACTGAAACAATCAGATGTTATTTGACAGCTTGCATTGGTAACAGCTAAGGAGTCGTGCCGTATTTTTGACAACTTACGATTTTCAAACCAAATAGTTAATAATAACTGATGTGATCGTGTTTGAAAGGCTGCAGTGGAAATGAATGTTAATGGCACAGATTATTCCAGAGGTTTGCTTATTCCAGAGGTTTGCTTAGACACGTTGACAAATAGCAACAGTATTTTATTTATTCACAATTCTTATGTGTCTCAGATATGCCTAAACCTGTTCATTAATAGGTGGCAGCTGTTCCTTAACAATGCTTCTGGTTGCCAGTGTATGATCTGTACTTGTGAGTCAGTCCTCGAAAAACAACCAAAACCAAAAAATACCACCCAGAATGCAGTTAGTATTTCGACTTTGGTGTTGTTTGGTTTCATGGCTGACAAGCTGTACTCTTCTCCACTAGCTTTTAAAGAAATATTACAAGCCTTTGTATTTCTGTCTTTGTGGGTGTGGTGGTTGGTATTTTTCTAAACGAGGAGCAGAAGGAGGGCAACTGTATTCCACAAAAAGAAAAAACGCGAAGTTTTTGCTCTTTTCTGAAGACTGCTGTAAGACTAACCAATGCTTAGTTCTGCCTACCTCCCAAGAGTGATTGACTCCTAAGATTGTTTTAATATAATATTAAATAAACATAAATCTGCTGAGCCGAGAACAGTCAAAATCCATTTAAGAACTTTCCCTGTGCTGTTGAGAGTAACATTTAATGTTTAACAGCTGGATGTCATTTGAGATGAACGCTCAGAAGCAGCAGGCCTCAGTTCTGTCCTTCCTTGAGCTCTTTACCTTCCTCTCCTATGGCAACAGGATTTTTGAGATTACACTGTGTCCCCCATTCCTTTGCTCCTGAACTACCTTTGGAACTTGCTAGCTGATTTTAAACAAATTTGACAGGTCAAACTAAAAGACATTTAAGCTCCCAAGATGTTCCCTGAAAATAAGGAGCTGGGTGAAGGAGAGGCAAAGTATTGTGCCGAAGGAAAGCCTCCAGCATTAGTTCATACAGTATTAGACAGACATGACTACACAGAGAGACTGAAAAATGCTTCAACCAGTCACTCCAGCTGGAGCTTGCATCACAGGTATCAAATTTAATTCACTGCAAGACCCAAATCCATAGGAAATCGGGTTTCGTTGTTGCCAAGGTTCATGGAATTGTTAGTTTGTCCAAAAGATCCCTGTGTCTCCAGCAGTGCCCATTCAGTGTTTCTTTATTATCCTCAGTCATGCACGGAGCCCCAGGCTTTATTTGCCCTTTATTTAGCTTGTACTGACCACAGAATATTAGTTTCTTTGTGAGGTTTTTCATAATACCCATAATGCTGTATTTTAGACCTATGTTAGATTTTTATCTTCATAACCTTAGTAACAATAGGTAGTGTTGCCAACATGGGAATCAAGGTACAGAGATTAAGGCAAAGAGGGTAAATGTACCAACTCAGTGCCGGTGCAATGTAGGGCTTAATTTTATTCCACTATCCTGTTTAATTAAAAAAAAAAAAGTCTGTTTTAGACGTTGAATGAGACAGATATTCTTCTCGAAACAGTAGCATATAATTAGGTCATGTAAATCAAAACTTAATCATAACGTTTGGGTGTAGGGGATGAGATTCATCTTAGCGTGCAGCCTTAGCCAGCTAAAGTTTCCATGACTGGTCTGCTGTGGTTGTGTGGAATCATCTCTATCCAGTAGAAAAAGATGCATCTTTTTAACATAAAATTGTGTTCTGGAGGTGCCTTTCTCTCTCTTCATTGATTATACAGGATTCCATATCTCACCCTGTATGGTTTCATAGCGTTAAAGTTAAATAAATTAAACTCCAGGAGACCAACAGGATGTTATACACTTGACTTACTTCTGGCATGTGCTGCTTCTGCAAGTTCTTGACTTTGAAGCCTGATGGCTCTCTTAAATGGGGGGGTTGAGGTGAAACTGTATTAACCCTTACGCAGACAATCTGTAGGGCTGAGGAACCTTAGAGCAACAGCCCAGCTGCCTTCTCAAGCTTGTGAAATAGCCAATTGCAGTACACCACTGTTACAGTCCCCGTGGTAGTAACAGAAGAGGGAGATAGAGACCCACACTTTGTGGGTTACATGTGTTTTGGACGTGGTGGAATAGCAGGATTTGGGAATAAGGACTTCATCCCCATTTCTTGAGGAAGGTGTCCTGCAGCAGTTAGATCCTGCTGTGCCCGACCCCGTACCCTCTCCTGCACCTCTCCCTGCCCCCCCAGTGATTGCTTTCCCTGCTCATATATCCCTGGCTCTTGCTGGGTACTGCTTGTGC